GTTGCAGAACTCGGTCTCTCCAACTGGACCAGGGTTCACACATTGAACACACTGGCAAACAGACAGATCTCCCATCTGTGTGAGCTTCTTAACCTCAGTCGCAAGGACTGTCATGGAACCGTAAGATTAGTGGATAAACATTCTATATTTGTTCCTTCAGTGCTATTTATGGGATATCATTATTATGTGGTAGACACTGTTGTAACTGCTAGAGAACTGGTTGGTAAGCAAGACAGACAAGGTTCTTACCTCACAGCGTTTACAGCATACCACAAACAATAAATAAGCAAATCCACGAATCACAGTGTCAGAAGCTGACGAGCCAATGAAATAAAACAGGGTGAAGTGAAAGCTGGCTGGGCAGTGTCATGGGCAGGGCGCTGGTTGATGTTGGGTGTCAGAGCAGGAAGATCTCAGTAAAGAGGCAATGTTTGAGCTGAGGATTGAGTGTCAGAAAAGGGCAGCCCTGCACAGTCTGGGGCAGAATGTTCCCAGGGAAGAACCAGCAAAAGCATCTGCCCTCAGGCAGGAACGATAGAGTGTTCCAGGAGAAAAGACACTGGGCACTAGGAGACGATTCAGGAGGTGTGGTCAGGGCTGGTTACAGAGGTTCGCATATGCCACCTTGTAGTTTGAACCTTATTCTTGGTCGGGTGGGAAGTTGTTGGAGGGCTTATGCTGAGTGCATCACAGCCTGTGTTTTTTAAACATTCCCCTCGGATGTTTGATGGAGGATCATGGATTGTAGGAGGTGAAGAGTTAAAAGGGAGACCAAACTGGAGCTGGTCACTTTGACAAGGGGGAGGTGGCGGGGGAGATGAGCTGAAGTCGGTGGGTGTGGGATCTGTTTTGGAACTAGATTCTATAAATAGTACTTGTGGTTCAGATGTGGGAGGTAAAACAGAAGGAATCAAAGGTACCTCATGGACGTTTGGCTTGTGGATCATCCTTAGCATGAGTAGAGGATAATGCTGTTCCCGTTGAGATGGGAAAGCCAGGAGCAAGAGAGGAAGAAGTCCAGTTTTGATCGTACTAAGGTGTATATCAGTTACCCAAGTGGAATTGTTAAAGGAGGTAATTGGAAATATCCTTAATATCGTTATATTTAAGTTGGCCTGTTAGTTTTTGGCCAGTACAAGTTTTAGCGTACTAAGTGTCAGACACTGGTTTTATTTTTTACTGAACGCTGCTGTAGGCAAATACATTTAAAACTGACAATTGTGGGCCAGGTACGGTGGCTCACGCCTGTAATCTCAGCACTTTGGGAGGCCGAGGTGGGCAGATCACCAGTGGTCAGGAGTTCGAGACCAGCTTGGCCAACATGGTGAAACCCTGTCTCTGCTAATAATACAAAAATTTGCTGAATGGATGTGGTGGTGCGCACCTGTAATCCCAGCTACTCGGGAGGCTGAGGCAGGAGAATTGCTTGAACCCAAGAGGCAGAGGTTGCAGTGAGCCAAGATTGCACCATTGCACTCCAGCACTCACTCCAGAGTGAGACCCTGTCTCAAAAGAAAAACAAAGACAAACAAACAAAAAAAACTGCTAACATTTACTTCTTGCTGCTTGTGTCTTCCTTTGTAGTCCTCTGAACTCCCTTCATTAAATGATCAGAAATTCCAAGGTGAGGAAACTTGCATTAATTTCTTTGGATACTCCCCTCCTATTTCCTACTTTCAATTTTGAAAAAAAAAAAGAAAAAAAGCTACGTTTTGGATAAAAGTGAAAAAGAAGGTCTGTTTCTTGACTAGTGTCGTTGAGGGCTATATTACAGACTGGTGATTTCTGCCCTCTGAAGCCAATTTTATTTGTTACGTGTTTTGCATGACTTTGTTTTTAATGAGTTTTGTGATTTGGGGCGGCTGGGGACAGGCAAATGGAGTGGATATGTGGGTGCTCTTGATAGACAGTGTCTTGAACTCTTAGGTCAGTGTATATATACATTCAGGCTGATATTCTATTCCCATGAACGTCATTTTGCATGTTTCTTGTCACAAGTCCTACTTCTAAAAGCATTTAAAAATTAGAAAGGAATGTACCTAGTATTGTCACATCCTTCGTTAACCATACTTACATGTTTTGTTTGACAAGGAGGAGGGGAAAAGGGGAAAAGAATGGTGGCGTAAACTAGTAAGGGGGATGGATAGGTTTTTATTAATTTGCGCTAAAACCCAAATAGATTTTCTTATTTTTGGACTCTTAAGAATGGTCCCTGTTGCTCTTGGGAAACAGGTCCACGGCTTTTCTGTCCTGGAAGAAACACTCATCTTCTAGACCCCAGCAGTCAGAACATATCTTCCATGGAAAAAAAAAAAAAAGCCACCATCCTACTCTCACGTGTGCCGTGAGGCAGCCACAGGGCTGTTCCCTATGCTGGCATGGGAGGCCCAGAAAGCCAGGACAACATCCAGTCAGCACATCCCTGATTCTGTTCTTTTCAGTGGTATCTGCTAGGCCATAGGGCCCCATTGGAAGTGTTGAAAGTTGCCATCTTGGCGGCTGTACTGATCCTCAAGAGTGGCTTTTTGGAAGTAGTAGAGCAATGAGAGACTTAGAAGGCCAGGGAAGATGTTTCTGAATGGGGAAGGGAAAGGTGTTCCAGAGGTCAGAGGCAGCAAACCAAAAACCGTAGAGTCCAAAATGAGGTGATTGGATGAAATAGAGATCGTTGACAAGTTCATGAACTACTGTGGTAAGCCAGTGACTTCTGAAGTTACATTTGGCCAGACAGGCTTCATTTGACTGTGGTCAAGGGATGGAGGAGATAGTTGGCACCAGTGTCTGTTCCTGGGATAGCAGAACCCCACCGAACGGTGCGGTACCCGAAGGAGTGTGGGATCCAACAGGTCTCTGTCTGCTAATAATTTCCCCAGACATTCCTATTGCTGCACATCAATGACTGCTCGACATCTGGTTTTTTTACTGTTGCATGAAGTTTCATTTCAGTTTCTGACTGTGTATTTCAGATTTTCTAAATGCCACACATTCTTTCTCCTTTGTAAGCAGCTTGAACAGGCAGGTTGCCTATTTCTAGGGGGCTGATGGCTTTGTCCATGTTGGACCTTAATGGTTCCATTGGACTTTTCATGATGGATATTAAAAGCAGATGGCTTTTGTTTCCTATGTTGTTTCATATGTCATATGTCATATGTCATTTGTTTCATATGAAAATGGCTTTTGTTTCATATGTCTTGTGAGCCAGGCCCATATAGCTAAGGCTAAAAAGAACTACAGGGGTGAGTCTGAAGTGAGACCCCAAAGTAAATCACTTTGGAAGGTTTTGCTTTCGTTTCTCTAAATAGCTAAGGACTTGGGAGAGTCAATGGTTTTGCAGTGAGCATATGTGTGTGTCCTTGAGTGAAGCAAGCAGAAAAACGGAGGATAGACCAAGGCAGAAAGGCTATCAGCAATCAGATGGCTTAGAGACATTGATTAGTTTGTTTATTTATTTATTGTTTTTGGGTTTTTTTGTGTGTAGGGGGGGAGGTTCACCTCCACCTTCCAGGTTCAAGCGATTCTCCTGTCTCAGCTTCCTGAGTAACTGGGATTACAGGTGCCCAGCACCACGCCCGGCTAATTTTTTTCGTATCTTTTTTAGAGATGGGATTTCACCATGTTGGACAGGCTGGTCTTGAACTCCTGACCTCTGGTGATCTGCCCACCTCAGCCTCCCCAAAGTGCTGGGATTATAGGCATGAGATACCACACCCGGCGTAATTTTTTTTTTAAAGAAGATTTGTATAGGGGTTGAAGCATTTCTTAAATGTATTTAGGGAATGTGCAGCCCAGCGTCTGTGGCAGTGGGTATCAAATTCATCAATTAATTTTTTGTTTTGGTTTCTCTATTAAATATCTCATTTATGTGTTTTAAGGAAGTTTGAGATTCAATTCAATATGGTGTTTTTTGTTTTTCTGTGTGCTTGTTTGTTTGGTGATGGAGTCTTGCTTTGTCACCCAGGCTGGAGTGCAGTAGCACCATCTCGGCCCACTGCAACCTCCACCTCCAAGGTTCAAGTGATTCTCCTCCCTCGGCCTCCTGAGTAGCTGGGATTACAGGAGCTTGCCATGATGCCCAGCTAATTTGTTGTATTTTTGATAGAGACGGGGTTTCACCATGTTGGCCAGGCTGGTCTTAAACTCCTGACCTCAGGTTATCCGCCTGCCTCAGCCTCCCAAAGTGCTGGGATTACAGACATGAGGCACGGTGCCTGGCCCTCAATACGGTATTTTTAACATAAATATGCTTATATGTGTATATGTAAGTAATATAGTTACCTATCAACATTTATTTACTGGGTGTTGTACTGCCACGTATTTGCACAAATATTTAATTCTAAGAACAAACCTGGAAATATTAAATTCCCAATTTAGAGGCAAGGAAACTGAGACTTTTAAGCATTAGGTGGCTTTCATAAGTTATAAATGACAGAGCTGGGTTCCAACTAGTTGAAGTCTCCTGGCACCAAGACCTGAGCTTTGCCTTCCTTTCATCTTTATTAATTAGTAGCTGTGCAGAAGTCAAAGGAACCCAGAAACAGTCAGTGTTTACATGCACAGTGGCATCCAGGTTTCAGGCAGAAGCAGCTTCACTTAACAGGACCCTGTTCAGGAAATTTAATCATCACTGTGCTGTGCTGCCCATAGTATAGTCATTAGCCACAGGTGGCTCTTGAAATTTAACTAGAATTCAATTCAGTTACAAATTCAGTTCCCCAGTTGCCACTAGCACATTGCAAGCATGCAATAGCCACCTGTGGCTGGTGGCTCCATATCGGATGGCTCAAATATAGAACATTTCCATGATCACAGAAAGTTCTGTTGGACAGCACTGCCAGCCAAAGACTTGGGTCCAATCGGCAGAATTCTTTTCTCCTGTGATAATCTGTGATTATCTGTTGACAAGTGATGGATATCCGGCCAGACGTGACAGCTCCGTTCTCCCGTGTCAATGCCGTGTGTCTGTCAACCTCCTTCATGGTGTGCTCACTTTTTCTTCCAAGGAGGAAGTTGGCCGAATATGGAAGATGGAGCTGCTCAAAGAATCGGATGGGCTGGGAATTCAGGTTAGTGGAGGCCGAGGATCAAAGCGCTCACCTCACGCTATCGTTGTCACTCAAGTGAAGGAAGGAGGTGCCGCTCACAGGTGACTAGATAACCCTCTCCCCTCCCCCGTCCCTCCGCTTCCTGTCCTTGCCCCTCCCTCCCCGCTGGTGCAGGCCCTCTTCCACTTGTTCAAAGCCCTGGTGATTACAGTTCATAAAGATTATGCTGGAGCACAGAAGGAAACCAGGCAAGAGTGGTTCGAATTGAACACACCTCTGAGCACAGGAAATGGCTAATTGCAGAAGGTACTGCAGGATCTTCTAAAACAAGGAGAGATTGGATCTCTTTATAGTACAGTTTTAGTTTCAAGTGAGTGTTACCTATCCTAACGTGCTGAGACCATACGAGACTGCTTACTGAGGATATGCTGCTGAGGAGAACACCGCATTCCTAAGATCTTAACTCCTATAAGACTTGACTAATGACCTGGGAAAGTGATTGGTTTTCCGTTTGACCACAGAAGCCCACAGCACTGGGGCTTCACTTGTCAGGTCTATCAGGATTTCAGGCATACTTAGATATATGTATCTCTCCCATACAGATGTGGAAGGAAAATTAAGTAAATGTGAATTTTTCTCCTTACGATCTGAAAACAACTCATACCTCAAAACTTCTTTTGTAGGTCAGGTGCGGTAGCGCACACCTGTAATCCCAACACTTTGGGAGGCCAAAGCGGGAGGATTGCTTGA